GAAGTAAGATAACGGAGAAGATGAAGTTAGAGGGGAAGAGGAATAGGGAAAGAGAGGGAAAGAGAAGGCGGGATGGAGAGGGGGGGTTGGGGTGGAGGAAGAGGGAAGTGGATGGTGAGGGGGGTGTATCAACCCATCGTCTAGGAGACGTCGAGAGCAGGTAGGCTAGGGCCTGGACCCTAACGAGGATCGAGAGAGAGGACGAGTGTTGGCTTGCCGGCGAGCTGAAACTACATGACACACCCTGGCAGGAGAGGTCAGCCAACTACCTGCTGGCAATGAGCGAATGGACCAGCTTGATGAGGAGACTGTTGACGAAAGGGATTCTAGGAGAGAGGAGAACTGGATCATGATGTCAGTCATTCCCTGGTATATGAACTTCTATCCTCTCCTCTTCTTCCCTCGTCAATACACTAAATGTTCTGCTGTTATTCCCTTTTGCTTTTGCCCCTCCCATCCTATCTCCTTCCTCCTTTCCCTCCACCCCTTCCTCTACCTGCTTTCATCCGACGCCATCTCCTCCTGCCCCCCTTCATGCTCCTCCTCTCCCTCCTCTCCGCTCCTCTCCCTCCTCTCCCTCCTCTCCCTCCTCTCCCTCCTCCTTCCTTCCTCCCCCATACCCTGCGCTCTCCCACATGACCATACACCTAGCATGTTCTTTCTTTTGGTTACCCTACCAGAGTACCACCCTTTTGTTCCGACATATTGGGGGTACTTTGATAACAATACCGTGGTGGGTACTTAAAAAAGAAAATTATTTTGTACCAAAGATCATTTGTAGGTAAAATGTGTTGATTCATCGATCTACATTCCAAAATTAGAGCACAGCCTTTCCATGGAACAGAACATGCCGCAGTACACAACCAAGCAGAGACGAGGAGAGAAAAGAACGTGACGATGATGATGAAACGAGATGTAGAGAGATGAAACGAACAGAGTGGAGCGGATATCTGTGTGGTAGAATACAGATGGCAGACTACTGGGTCGACAGTGAAACCAAAACGAGAACTTGCTAGGTAGTGAGAGCAAGCTCGAAAAGAGAGGAAGTAAAGGAACAAGGGGGAAAAGCATTGAACTGATATTCGAAGACTAAGGAGTGTCAAACAGTTTCCATGCGATCGTTTCAAGATCAATGTTAACAAAACGTTCGAATATGAGAATCCAAAAAAAGAAAGACTTCGAACAAGTAACTAGGGAATAAGAAAACCATCTGAACACCGCCTACACCACCTTACAATCATTTGATTCCTCCTACAAGCTTTTAGCCCAGTCCCCCCCCGGCAGCACATACGGTGAGTTCGCCCATGACGCCGGCACCCGCTGGTGCTTGCACATGTACTTGAGTAGCTGCGCCGGTAGCTCCCCTAGCACCTTGCTCGCCAGGTCCTCCTTGCTCTTGGCTGATACGAAGGGTACAAACTGCACGATGTCCCGGTCGCTCGCCTTGCCGCTCTCGTCCACCAGCCTCCCGTTGTCCCCGTCCAGCATCACCATCTCCTCGAAGGTCTCCTCTCCTACCCCCACGATGATGACGCTCATCGGCTCCTGCCACACCTCCAGTTAGCTTCCCAAGCCCCTCCACTCCAGACCTCTTCCCTCCTCCCTCTCCCCCTCGTCTCTCCTCCCTGCACTCACGTGAGAGGCCTGCACGATGGCCTTGATCGTCTCCTGCTTGTCCGTGATCTCACCGTCCGTGAGGATCAGAAGCACGTGGTACGCCTGCTTCTTGCACTCTCTGGCATGCATGATAGTCTGCTGGATGACCGGGGCGAAGTTGGTGGGTCCGTAGAGCTTGGTGGAGGAGATGGCGCTGCGGTAAGCCGCGAGAAGTCCTGTACGATCATGTCAAGCACGGCTCAGGCATGTTCCCCTCCCTTCTCTCGAGCGTACCGTCGACCCCCAACACCTCAGGGTCTTTCATGTTGCCGTTGAGGGGGAAGCAGTGGGATGCCTCCGAGTGCCCCGCCACGATCCCTCCGAAGCCGTACACCGCGATCTTCTTGTCCTGGTCGTACTCGACAAGGATCTCTCCTACTCCGATCATCGCCTGCTCGTACTGGTTCAGCGACCCGTCCGGCTGGATGTAGTGCAGCGAGTTCGGGTCCGCGGGGTCTCCGTTGGACATGGTGAAGTCGATGGCCACCGAGACCGTGAGCTCGCAGCCGTTGGAGATGTAGTCGTACAGCGTGGGGTAGCGGATGATGTGGATCCTGTCTACAGCGATGGAGCCTGGCTCCTTGGTGTTTCCTCCCGGGCGATCGTTGAGGCCAACAGTCTTCTTCTCCGCCAGCTCGTTGAACGTGGTCTCTATCCACCCGATCATGTCGTCCTTTGAGAATGTATCCTCGTCCCAGCACTCGAGCTTAAACTTCTCGTCCTGCTTCCCGTTGCACAAGTCCTTCATCGACACCTGCTCCCTGCTCTCAGCTCTATCCGCCTCCCTGCCCTCCCGGCATGCACGCAGGCGATCCTAGACTCACCGTGAGGGGCTTCCACTTGGGGTTCAGGTCGTTGTCAATCGTCTCCGTTCTGTGCACGTCCGTCATCTGCCCGTCCTTGCGAAGCTTGATGAGCTTCACGTATGGGTCCGACTTCCCCATGAAGCCGTCCTTGTTCGCCAGCTTCACCCCCCGCATCTCCACATACATCACGTCCTTGTCTCTCCCGCCCTGCTCCTCCGACATGATCGTGATGCTCCCGGTCTCCTTCCCGTTGGAGTGCTTGAGCTTGTCCGTCAGCTTGCCCTTGACCGAGCCGATGATCTTGGACAGCGTGCACTCTATGCTCCCGATCTCATCTCCGTCCAGCACCTTCTTGGGATCGTCAACATCGCGGACGTCAAACACAAGCCGCTGCTTCTTCTCAAAGAAGTAATCGACATCGATCCTGGTCTGGAAGACAGGGTCCTTGCAGTCCTTGATCCACTCAGTCCGGCCGACCTCCTGCTTGGCACCGTCGGCAGCTCGCTCGTACACAACGCAGATGGGGTCGCTCTTGCTCATCCAATCTTTGCTCACAAGGTTTTGACACTGGCAACCAACATGATCATCGTGTAAAGAACAAAAAAAATATATTATCATACCGTGATAGTGAGAAGAATTTTCGTGCTCAGCGTCATTCTGCCAATAGCACAAATCCTGCTGATGCTCTCAGACCTCAGCAACGATCTGACACGATGCTATCAGGAAGAAGAGAAAGGTTGACACTAGTTACGCGAGCAAATGCAGCTCATCCTTTGGACATCAGACCGTAATGGATTTTGTCATCTCTTCCAAATCCGTGCTACTGACATCGTTCATAACTCTCTTTCAACCTTGACATTCTTCGTCCTTCTATCCCTATTCCTCTTCCATCATCCTCCATCCTCCATCCGTCACTTGCCATCCCCTACTCTTCCATCCCCTCCATCTCCCTGCAAAAGCGGCCTGCGCCCCTAGATTCCATTCTTTCGCTGATCCCTACCACCCTACCCCCTCCGACAGAATTTCACCCATAGGAAGACAGGGGTCTTTTCTGCTTGTCGCAAGGGTCATTGGTCCTGTAGTGCATTCGGGGCGAGGTTGAAAGAAGGGGGATTCGGGGGGTAGGGGTCCTTTACACCCTCAGAAAGATGGGTAGGGTGTATATTGAATAGCTTAACAAATGGGGGTAGGGGTACATTTCAAATACTGATCTCGGGTCAACTGGGGGGTGGGTTGGACAGTCTGTGCGGAATCTTCAATTTTCAAGTTTGAGACAATAATTTCACTTTTCAACAAATATTTTCAATTTGTCCTGTTGGATCTCGAACTTTATTTGACTATAGCACCGTATCGGAATGACTACCTGGTCCAAAGTACCCCACCCTTGAAAGGCTATCAGCTGACATACCCCCTATTTTCACTATAAAAGTACCGGTATTTTCAAAGAAACAATTGTAATACTACCCGTTCTGACCAGACTTCCCCGAATTTTTCTTTATTATAGTCAATTCCAGCAAAATCCTCTCTCAACCGGTGAGGCGCATAGGACCCCTACCCCCTTTGAAATCCACTACCCCCTCTTGTAATTCTGTCAAGATGCTACCAGTGACCCCCTACCCTGCTTTCATAAATATTTTACAGCCTACCCCTCATTACAATTGCTGTGTTCGTTGTACCCCTACCCCCTATAAATCACCACCACCAGAGACTACCCTGTTGCCTAAATTGACCCTCTCCGCCCATTCACATTCCGTGGTGACACATAATCATGGTTGCCGGTGTTGGGGAGCGCGGGGCAGCGCAGAACAGAATCTGCCCATGGCCTGATTCTGCAGACGCAGAGAGTGGAGGAGGGATGCTCTCGAAGATTAGGACAATGGAGTAGAATGACAACAGTGTATTACATGAAAACAGTGTGTTACATGAAGATACAAGAATAGTACGTTGAGCTAGCATGACGGGGACTAGATGAAGAGGAGGACGTGGAGGAAGGAAGCTGGCTAGGAGAAACTCCGTGTATTCATACGTAGTGATGGCAAACGGCATTCGAGTCTTGTTGCTTGTTGTCGTATACTATGGCCCAATAATATGCATGACTCGATTATAGTCAGTTATTGTGTATACTCAATAATGATCTACTTCTCCGGAACCTGCTACGACACAGGAACATAGTGCCGCAAACACATGTTGCAGATACATGATGCATTTTAGTGAACAAAAACAAAGATATGACCAGAAAGCTCGAGTAATGGAAAACGGCATTCAAGTCTTGTAACATTGAACAGTGCGGAATGAGAATATCGAGCAAGTGATGGATCCCTTGATGCAGGTCTAGTCACTATGCCCGGACTCACTTCACATATCCTCCTCACTATCTCCGTAAGTATCCCTCCTTCCCGTGCTGCCTTCCGCCCTGACCCCCTCCTGCCAGTGCAAAGATCTGGTCAGCAAGGACTACACCAGCAAGAGCGACCCCATCTGCATCGTGTACGAGCGAGCTGCCGACGGCGCCAAGCAGGAGGTCGGCCGGACTGAGTGGATCAAGGACTGCAAGGACCCTGTCTTCCAGACCAGGATCGACATCCAGTACCTTTTCGAGAAGAAGCAGCGGCTTGTGTTCAACGTGCTCGACATCGACGATCCAGCGAAGGCGCTGGACGGAGATGAGATCGGGAGCATAGAGTGCACGCTGTCCAAGATCATCGGCTCGGTCAAGGGCAAGCTGACGGACAAGCTCAAGCACTCCAACGGGAAGGAGACCGGGAGCATCACGATCATGTCGGAGGAGCAGGGCGGGAGAGACAAGGACGTGATGTATGTGGAGATGCGGGGGGTGAAGCTGGCGAACAAGGACGGCTTCATGGGGAAGTCGGACCCATACGTGAAGCTCATCAAGCTTCGCAAGGATGGAGACACTGTGGAAGTGTACCGTTCTGAAGCAATCGACAACGACCTGAACCCCAAGTGGAAGCCCTTCACGGTGAGTCTAGGATCGCCTGCGTGCATGCCGGGTGAGCAGGGAGGCAGGCGGGACTGAGAGCAGGGAGCAGGTGTCGATGAAGGACTTGTGCAACGGGAAGCAAGACGAGAAGTTTAAGCTCGAGTGCTGGGACGAGGACCCAGCAACCAAGGACGACATGATCGGGTGGATAGAGACCACGTTCAACGAGCTGGCGGAGAAGAAGACTGTTGGCCTCAACGATCGCCCGGGAGGAAGCACCAAAGAGCCAGGCTCCATCGCTGTAGACAGGATCCACATCATCCGCTACCCCACGCTGTACGACTACATCTCCAACGGCTGCGAGCTCACGGTCTCGGTGGCCATCGACTTCACCATGTCCAACGGAGACCCCGCGGACCCGAACTCGCTGCACTACATCCAGCCGGACGGGTCGCTGAACCAGTACGAGCAGGCGATGATCGGAGTAGGAGAGATCCTTGTCGAGTACGACCAGGACAAGAAGATCGCGGTGTACGGCTTCGGAGGGGTCGTGGCGGGGCACTCGGAGGCATCCCACTGCTTCCCCCTCAACGGCAACATTAACAAGCCAGAGGTTGACGATGTTGCTGGTATATTCACTTTTGCTTTTCCTTTTCGGGCTGACTCAAAATCATGTAGGACTTCTTGCGGCTTACCGCAGCGCCATCTCCTCCACCAAGCTCTACGGACCCACCAACTTCGCCCCGGTCATCCAGCAGACTATCATGCATGCCAGAGAGTGCAAGAAGCAGGCGTACCACGTGCTCCTGATCCTCACGGACGGCGACATCACGGACAAGCAGGAGACGATCAAGGCCATCGTGCAGGCCTCTCACGTGAGTGCAGGGAGGAGAGACGAGGGGGGGAGGGAGGAGGGAAGGGGTCTTGAGTGGAGGGGCTTGGGAAGCTGACTGGAGGTGTGGCAGGAGCCGATGAGCGTCATCATCGTGGGGGTAGGGGAGGAGACCTTCGAGGAGATGGTGATGCTGGACGGGGACAACGGGAGGCTGGTGGACGAGAGCGGCAAGGCGAGCGACCGGGACATCGTGCAGTTTGTACCCTTCGTATCAGCCAAGAGCAAGGAGGACCTGGCGAGCAAGGTGCTAGGGGAGCTACCGGCGCAGCTACTCAAGTACATGTGCAAGCACCAGCGGGTGCCGGCGTCATGGGCGAACTCACCGTATGTGCTGCCGGGGGGAGACTGGGCTAGAGGCTTGTAGGATGTGGATGGAGAGTCTTTGGCAAAGGAACTGATGTATGGTTCTCTTCATTGTTCCTGGAGGTTCTCAATAATTTGATCTTTTTTTTGTTGCTTTTTTTTGTTTGGCTCCATCACCTTGTGGCTTTGATTAGATTTGATCTCGAATGGAGAAGTTTCTTTCAGCCTCTGCATTATCCTGTGCTTGTTTTATGAGCCAGTCTTGGTTCAATTGTTATGTTGCAAGCATGGAGGGCAATATGAACGTAATTGTTTATTGTTTTGGCGTAGGCCTTTTCTGGTTGTGGTGAAAGGGCAGAAAGATAATCAAAGCGATGGAGCGAAAGATACGGGAAATCTTTCTGAAGCATGATGAGAGCTGTGGCAGGTTTTGTGGGGGATGAAAATTATCGTATGTTGCCCTACAAATGTTTTCATGTGCGCCTGACACGAGTTTACCACTCACTCTTCCCATGATTCATGACTTCCCCCTGTTACTTGAACAAACCAAGAAACACACCAGCTTCACGTGACACGGTCTTTGATGTAGCAAACAACACATGCGTAGATTAGGCCGGAGATTAGGCATCGATGCTGCTGCTTGCGCGCATGTTCTCCTCGATATATTTCTCTGCCTCGTCCAACTTTGTTGTCCACTCTCCATTCTTTTTTTTCTTGAACCACTTGGGAGTCCACTGAACTTTCTGCTCTGCCTCCTTCACGCGCAGAGCCCTTTGCTCATCCTCAACCTGCACATTCAGCTGAGGTGAATCGGTGCAGAGAAGAAGGAGGACAAGGACGAGAAGATAGAGAGAAAGAAGACAAGGAGAAGGAGGAAGAACAGGAGGAAGGCAACACAAGGACAAGGTGAAGGTCAAGGTGAAGGAGTAAGAGAACGAGGAGGAGGAGGAGGAGGAGGAGGAGGAGGAGGAGGAGGAGAACGATGAGCAGGAGCAGCAAGAGAGGGAGAAACCTTTAGCTTCTCCCTATTCGCAACGTTGAGGTCTCCAGCAAGAAGAGCCTCAGTGACCTTTCCCCAGACCATCTGCGTTCAGCTATCAGCCCAGCAGACATCGACCAGCGGCATGCAGACGGTCGAGTCCGTCGGGAGCTGGTTGCTCAGTTGGAGACGTTGAGGCGCTTCCTTGGCATGACACTCGTCGTAGTCATAGAGCACTGAAAGTTGACGTCAAAGAGGATGAGAAAGGGAAAAGGTAAGGAAGGAGGGGCTCGGGGAGAAAACGGGGACGAGCACGAGCACGAACACAAGAACGAGCAGTGGGATGAGCGCGAAGGAGGGGGCAAGAGGAGGCAAGCTGGACCCTGCTCGGCTCCGGTGCTCTTGTCCCTCAGTATCAGCTTCGTGTCCCAGTGGCCGCTGACGTCGTAGAGAACCTCTTCCGATTCGTTCGTGTCTCGCCTCAGCTTCCCCTGCCCTCCTGTCAACAGAAGGAGAGAGAGAGAGAAGTTTTGCAGGCCTGCACTGCATGCCACTCTCCCCACATGCCGAGGAAGCCGAGTGGTTTGAACTCCATCTCGCATACCTTGAGCATAACGACTGTGAGCGTGAAGGAGGCGCATAGGACAAGCTTCCCACCAGGCCAGTCTTCTTGCACCACACGATGACCGGGCCAGTCCACTCCACACCTCGAGCCCCGAAGAAAAGTCCCCGAAACTGACGAGAAAGACACGGTATCAACAACTGAGACTACAGAGGGAGGGTGGAGGAACCTGCATGGTAGGCATCGTCATCATATAGTCCTCCCCGAATTGCTCCAGTCTCAGCGTTCTCTGACCGAAAGGAATCTGCTCGCTCGTGAGGACAGGCGGTAGCAGGTCGTTCACCTCCCCACCGCGATGCTGTTCCCGTTGAACTGAGCTCCGGTGTGCATGTAGCCCTGATCACAACCTCTTACGCTACATGCCAGGGGAAAGCGGAGGGAGTACCTCCATGGACACGGCAAGGCTCTTGTTCCGGATGTAGAACGCAGAGATAGGAGGATGGTGGGAAACCTTTTGAAGGTGCAAGTCAGTAGTCGAATAAAGGTTGTCACAGGCTCTTGCCTGTTCGCAGATCATGTGGGAAATCCCGGAAGTCGTGCTTCCGTTGTCAAACGCCCATGCTGAAGTTTCTCCCAAGATCTGCCGGAGGCATGAAAAGCTTCAAGGATCACCCCTTGCGGACTCTTCACAAGCCGGCACGTCGCTTACCGGATTGTAGGGCTTCTTCCCGTCGAACACCTTCATGCAGTCACCGTCAGTTGACTTGGCGACCGAGCAGACAGTGGTCAAGAACGAACCTCCTTGATCAGACCAGACACATGGAACTTCGTCACGGCAATCATCCTGTCAATCTCACTCTGGCCCTGCAACCACTGTCAAGGCCAGCACATCAAGTACAGGTGAACCTTGTTGAGCTCAGACATCAGCTTCCCGTGCTGCAGGGTAGCAGCCAGGCACTCGAGTGTAGACTTGGGACGGAGGAAGTGCGCTCCCAGCGAGATCCTGCCATGGTCAGCAACCCATGACGGCACGTTGCAATCACCTTGTCACATCGCAGCCCCTTGCAAGACCCTTCAACAGGTCCCTCCAGCTTCGCTCCTGATGGAAGCAGCCGTTGCAAGTTAGACGAACGGCAGATCAGTATTCCACGTAGCGGAGCAACCGGCTCCGTTCCTACCTGTTCCTTGGTGGTTGTGTCCATTTGCCATGAGGCCTTGGCGTCTGATTTCTGGTCTGGGGTCTCTTCTACGACGAACCTGTTGGGGTCAGAGGACCTCGCAACCTCGTCGATCGATCGATTGCTCCCGTCTTCTTCCATCTCTGTGCATTCAGTCAACGCTCCGGGTCTATCAAAGACTATGTCGTCCATGTATGCACGTACTTCCAGGTCTGTTGAGCCATTACTGCTTCCTTCTTGCCTAGGTCCTTTCTTGAACTCTGTCTTCCCTACTCTCCTCCTGTATTTTCTTCTCGTCTGTCTCCTTTTCCTTTATTCCTTTCTATTCTCCTCTATCTCCTTCTGTTGACCTCTATCTCCTTCTATTCTCCTCTTCTCCTTATTTTCTCCTCTATCTCCTTCTATTCTCCTCTTTCTCCTTCTATTCTCCTCTTCTCCTTCTATTCTCCTCTTCTCCTTCTATTCTCCTCTAGCTCATTCTATTCTCCTCTAGCTCATTCTATTCTCCTCTATCTCCTTATCTTCTCCTTTAACTCCTTCTATTCTCCTCTATCTCTATTCCCTTGTCGCCATCGCCGCCGTCCCTTCCATGCATTACGCCTGCTACATTTGCGCCTCCTAGTTTTTACTCAAACTTACAGCAGGACAAACTCAAAAGGGGGTATGAGGGGGATGATAGCAGTCGAAGCTCAACACCCACCATTAGTCATAGTTAAGGACCGGTGCTGCACCAAGAGTACCCTAGTACCCCCCAATTTAGGTGTCTTTTGACCCCTACCTCTTGTAGTCACTACAAGATCCTCTGGCGCTAGCCAAAGGTCTCCTACAGATCACCCACCCCACCCCACCCCAATCCTGATGACCCCTACATGTTAACATTTTTCATCACACACCCCCTATTAGTACCTGATATTCCCATGACCCCTGATATTGAGGTTCGCAGTTCATGTACCCCCACCTCAAATTTTAGACTACCCCAATGAAATCCTTCCCCACCCTGGACAAAATGCGATTTATTCGTGTACGGAATGGGAGGATGTATCAGAGGAGAATAGAGCAGGAGCATGCTTCTAGATTCATTCTAGAAACAAGAAGAACGACATGGATAGGAGAAGAGGATGAAGAGAGGTCAGGATACAGAATTACGCTAGAGTATACAAAGACGCAAAAACTCATTCCCACGAAAAGCCAAAACGCTCTCAATGACTGATTGGAACAAAATGCAGAAGCATGACAAAAAGAATTGCGATAATCACTTGAAAATTATTTTCTCAAACTAAGAACATGACAAATGATGTGCGTAAGCCCAAAACGAGACAACATGTTCGTCCATTATCCCGCAAACACAGCCCGACAGCAATGCGTCACACCCCTTAATCCCTTGATGCAGGTCTAGTCACTATGCCCGGACTCACTTCACATATCCTCCTCACTATCTCCGTAAGTATCCCTCCTTCCCGTGCTGCCTTCCGCCCTGACTCCCTCCTGCCAGTGCAAAGATCTGGTCAGCAAGGACTACACCAGCAAGAGCGACCCCATCTGCATCGTGTACGAGCGAGCTGCCGACGGCGCCAAGCAGGAGGTCGGCCGGACTGAGTGGATCAAGGACTGCAAGGACCCTGTCTTCCAGACCAGGATCGACATCCAGTACCTTTTCGAGAAGAAGCAGAGGCTTGTGTTTGACGTCCGCGATGTTGACGATCCCAAGAAGGTGCTGGACGGAGATGAGATCGGGAGCATAGAGTGCACGCTGTCCAAGATCATCGGCTCGGTCAAGGGCAAGCTGACGGACAAGCTCAAGCACTCCAACGGGAAGGAGACCGGGAGCATCACGATCATGTCGGAGGAGCAGGGCGGGAGAGACAAGGACTTGATGTATGTGGAGATGCGGGGGGTGAAGCTGGCGAACAAGGACGGCTTCATGGGGAAGTCGGACCCATACGTGAAGCTCATCAAGCTTCGCAAGGACGGGCAGATGACTGACGTGCACAGAACGGAGACGATCGACAACGACCTGAACCCCAAGTGGAAGCCCTTCACGGTGAGTCTAGGATCGCCTGCGTGCATGCCGGGTGAGCAGGGAGGCGGATAGAGCTGAGAGCAGCGAGCAGGTGTCGATGAAGGACTTGTGCAACGGGAAGCAAGACGAGAAGTTTAAGCTCGAGTGCTGGGACGAGGACACGGCAACCAAGGACGACATGATCGGGTGGATAGAGACCACGTTCAACGAGCTGGCGCAGAAGAAGACTGTTGGCCTCAACGATCGCCCGGGAGGAAACACCAAAGAGCCAGGCTCCATCACTGTAGACAGGATCCACATCATCCGCTACCCCACGCTGTACGACTACATCTCCAACGGCTGCGAGCTCACGGTCTCGGTGGCCATCGACTTCACCATGTCCAACGGAGACCCCGCGGACCCGAACTCGCTGCACTACATCCGGCCGGACGGGTCGCTGAACCAGTACGAGCAGGCGATGATCGGAGTAGGAGAGATCCTTGTCGAGTACGACCAGGACAAGAAGATCGCGGTGTACGGCTTCGGAGGGATCGTGGCGGGGCACTCGGAGGCATCCCACTGCTTCCCCCTCAACGGCAACATGAAAGACCCTGAGGTGTTGGGGGTCGACGGTACGCTCGAGAGAAGGGAGGGGAACATGCCTGAGCCGTGCTTGACATGATCGTGCAGGACTTCTTGCGGCTTACCGCAGCGCCATCTCCTCCACCAAGCTCTACGGACCCACCAACTTCGCCCCGGTCATCCAGCAGACTATCATGCATGCCAGAGAGTGCAAGAAGCAGGCGTACCACGTGCTCCTGATCCTCACAGACGGCGACATCACGGACAAGCAGGAGACGATCAAGGCCATCGTCCAGGCCTCTCACGTGAGTGCAGGGAGGAGAGACGAGGGGGAGAGGGAGGAGGGAAGAGGTCTGGAGTGGAGGGGCTTGGGAAGCTGACAGGAGGTGTGGCAGGAGCCGATGAGCGTCATCATCGTGGGGGTAGGGGAGGAGACCTTCGAGGAGATGGTGATGCTGGACGGGGACAACGGGAGGCTGGTGGACGAGAGCGGCAAGGCGAGCGACCGGGACATCGTGCAGTTTGTACCCTTCGTATCAGCCAAGAGCAAGGAGGACCTGGCGAGCAAGGTGCTAGGGGAGCTACCGGCGCAGCTACTCAAGTACATGTGCAAGCACCAGCGGGTGCCGGCGTCATGGGCGAACTCACCGTATGTGCTGCCGGGGGGGGACTGGGCTAGAGGCTTGTAGGATGTGGATCGGATGTAGACTCTACCTCAATTCGATTTTCACTTCATTGCTGTTTTACTTGGTCGACTGGTTTTTGGTCTGATGGTCTTGTATCTTGTCGATCATTTTTTTTCCGTCTGAGATCTTTCTTGCAATTAGAATTTGTAGGATATTCGTTGTCCAACATAAACTTAGTATAAAATCCGGTACAACCTGAAAATCGGATACATATTGAATGTGATCCGGAAGCCTTCTGACCATGGTTGCGCCTGGTGCTTCACTGAAAACAATTGCTGAATTTTATAGATGAGGACACAGTCATTGAAACCGGGCTGGCCCGTGGTCAAACAAAAAAGAAAGTTTTGACCGATGAAAGTGAGGCATTCCTCCGCTCACTACGCGACGTTTCAGCTAAAACTCGTCACCAGAGATCCATCAACATGCAACCTTTCATAAAACCCTTGCAATAGGTTTATAGCCAACCGTTGCAAACTGAGATTCACTCAGTCAATAAACGAGATCAGCGTAGAACCTGTCCTGACGCCCTTCAGATCCCCGTGAGTCAGGCCATGGCGCTGCTTCCTCCCCCTCCCGACCATCCAACTCCGCCTCTAGTCGTCACCATCAACCCTCGCCCTCGCACCACCTTTCGCTCTGCTCCTGGAGACTTCCTTTCCCCCGTCACCGTCTCCCTCGAAACCTTGCAGCCTCTCTTCTCCCGTAGCCAAGAGGACGCCGCCGCCTTCCTGGTGAGGCCCCACCATGCTTGTGCTGAGCACTGGCTGACTGCGCGATGCGATCAGGGTGTGTCTCTTACGAGCCTTAAGAGCGCTTGCAGGCGTATCGGCATCACCCGATGGCCATACACGAGGAGGACGTACGACAGTCAAGACAATGCAGGTCGGTCGAAACGAGAAGGAAAGGAAGGATCAGGTTCAGACAGCGAGCATCGTGCAGCCAGCAGCATGGGAGTGGAGGTGACTGTAGGTCACCAGGGTGACAGAGTCCAACCCAGGGCATCCGAGGAGGACCCAGGGAGAGAGAATGAGGACACCACGTGCATGGATAGTCAGGAGGAGGACGTGCGTCAATTTATACTTGCGGGCTCAGATACGACATCGGACGAAGGATTTCTTGAGGAGCGGGATGAAAATAATAGCGTGGGGTTGGATTGGGTGTACACTGCAGAATGGATTGCGTCGTATGTGCAGAAGAGCGACAGGGATGTTGAGATCTAGCGACATGAATGGCAGCCGTGCAAATGTAGAACACGAAAATGAGAAGATTGGCATAAATCAAGAGTTTTGTGCATCCTTTATGTGTGTTGTATGAAAATATTCCAAACAATTCCCAGCCTCTCATAGTCCGATGTTAGCCTTAGCGGGTCGTGACTGCGAGTTTGCCATTTTGTTGTTTCAGATGTTGTTTGAAGCTTCATTGCAAATAGACTGTTACAGTAAATTCGGCATAGCAGGTCAGAGGCTGCCATACCGAACTGCATCTGCTCAGCGCTAACGAGCTTCAATAGCCTTCACTGCCTGAACATCGGAAGGCAGCGATGACTTGAACAGCCTGAGCGCAGCGGCTCGTGCATCAATAATTGATCCCATCTCAAGAAGGTTTGTAACCCTCTTATCCATCTTTTTCTTATCTATTTTAAGGCTGCAACTATATCAGCATTTGACTGGAATTCAATAATTGATCCCATCTCAAGAAGGTTTAAGCTTTCAATGTACTAAGTATTTCATACAAATCTTTACTCAAGAAAAATAATAATTCATCCCAGAAGGTTTAAAAGGGCCACGTGAACTCGGAAATCCCCGTCGGCCCCCTTGAAACTTTCCGAGTTCTACTTGTCGTACTGAATTTTGACTTAACTAAGTAACATTGAGTAACAGTACCGGCGGTACGGTCCACAGCCCGGCCGGGCCCGGCTTGGCGGTGATGAGGGTGAGTCCGAACCTTTGAAGTTCGTCGGACTCAGGGAGTCACGCACGGTGGCACTGCGGCAGTCGCGGGCACCCGGGACCGGATGATCCGGGGCGGCCGGCCCTTCTTCAACTGGCAAGGCAACTTTTCAAGCCTTTGCCCCGGCGCTGGCATGGCCGCACCATCGTGCCGGCCGCCCCGGCACCGGTGGGCCCCCGAGAGTGAGTCCCGGACACCGCCGGGCCGAGTCCGGAGGCCCGGGGCCGGGCGCCGGGCGCGGAGCCGCCGCCGGGCCGCGCCGCCAGACCGTACCCTGGCGCAGTGCCACAGTGAGTTACTACACTGATCGACTCCGACTCATCAGACCGTTAAGGCTCTCCGGCGCCGACTCAGTGATCAGTCAAGCTAATCAAGTTTTCGGTGGTTCATCTTAAAAAGCAATAGCTAATCGCTTTATTTTCACCCCATGCGGATCGGCGGGCGCATCATGGGGATGTTGGGGGTCGTGGCGGCTCTGACGATGGAAGGAGGATTGGGAGGAGGAGGAGGAGGAGGAGGAGGAGGATGTCGGGAGCAGTCGTGGAGTTCGTGCATGATGCGAGTAGGGAGCGGACAAAGTCTTGGGCAAGGATCCTTGAGGGCGTTTCAGCGCATTGGTGCATGGAGGACCATGTTGTGTTGTATGAAGAGAGAGTGCGGTAGGGAAGTCGCTCTTCTGAGGATGGAGCTCGAGCTTCAGTCCATGTGCAGATGTATGGCATTGCGAGGAGCTAGGAATACCAAGCAGCTCGCAAAGCCCGGGTTGCGCGTTCGTTCGGGCATGCAGATAGGAACACGTCATGGCAGCATCAAGGTGGGCAACAAGGGCGACTTGCTGGAGTACAAGAAGCGGAAGCGGCTGAAACAAGTTCGGAGGAAGCAGCGTCAGGAGAGGGAGGAGATACTGAGGACGAAGCAGGAACGCAAAGAGATTGGGGTACTCACCGCAATTGCGTTGAGTGCCAGGCTACAGGACGAGGACACGCTGGCAGACCTGCGGCGACTGAACAAAGCAGGGAAAAAGTGCCTGAGAGATCTCTTGGTCAACGAGACGGCAGCGATCGAAGAGTTCGAGCGAGCGCTTTGGATTCCGCCGAGGGTCAGGGAGGCTTCGGGGGCATCGGAGTCCCTGGTTGCTCTCCCGTGTGATTTTGAGGACACGCCGGAGAACAGAGAGGCGAGGAGGGAGTATCGGAGAAAGTACAACATCAGCAAGCACATGGGGTTGTGCTTTGAACCGCAGCAGCCCAGGAGCCAGTTGGAAGCGATGGTAGACGAGGACAGTTCAGAGGAGGTCTCGGCGCCGGACTTTGACCAGGCCATCTACTTCGACCGTTCTATCTTCGAGAACCCGGAGGGAGACAAGAATAATCCGCACAGGGAGGGAGCAGAGTGGGGGAAGAAGTTCCTGGAGAGCATAGGGGCTGAGGTAGCAAGTCAGACCTCCTTGGATATGGACCGGCCGTTAGTGTTCGACCCTCTGGAGGAGGGGTGTATCATCCCCCGCGAGAAGCTAGAGGATCAGAAGTATCACTTCGAGAAGAAGCTGGGGTATCGGTGGGCGCAGCGGTTCCCGCGGTACAGGGAGTTCATCAAGCGGGAGATCCGGAGGCTGGACATTCTCATCCCCGAAGCAAGGCCGATGGATGTGCCGGAAGATGAGTGGGTCCCGCCCAGAGACTGCGTTCGCTACCTCCGAGATGGATACATCCCGATGCCTGCTGGTGTGAGCATGGAGAACAACCAAGAGGTGAGTGGAGGACAGGGAGAGTTCCCCTCCTCTGTCCCTGTGTGGTTGGACTGATTTGCTGATTCCTTCCTCGTCCTTCTCCTCCAGGAAATGTGGGCTTTGCAGGAGCAGTACAGCGAAAAGATGCAGAAAGGGCTGAAGCACTTCTGGGACCTGGTGCATGCGGGGAAGATACCGAAGCCGGACTTGCGTCAGACAGAGGCTGAGATGCAGGATGTGGTGGAGGAGGAGCTGAAGGAGGAGGATATCCGGAGATTAGACGAGGAGCAGGAGGCTGATCATGCCCATGAGCAGGCAGAGGAGAGAGGGATCCCAAAGGAGAAGCTTGACCGCCTGATGGAACTTGGATACAACGGGTCCACTGCTCTCAAGGTGTTGGATTGGATTCAGGACCTGTCGGAGCAGAAGATCGACTGGACAGCCTTCGCCATCCCCGAGCTGTGGCGGAACAGCTGGCAAGGAGTGAAGACGAGGAGGTCGAGGGAAGTGGAGCAGAGGGGCTTGCATGTGGAGGAAATAACACTCAGTGCGTCCGATCGGAACAGCGAGAAGACGATCACTGACCTGGTGTACCACTTCCCGCCCAGGGAGCGAGTCAAAAAGGCGAGCCCGGTCGTAGGTGTGAGCTACGAATGGCTGAGAGACCTGGCCTCGGACAATCTTGCCCAGTACGATGAGACGGAGCTGAACTCTGCCATGTTCTGTCTGGACTACGTCGCAAGGTGAGAGGTGCATGAATCTTGCTCGCTTCCTCACACCGTTCTGCAGATCGTTCTTCTCTTGTCCTCCTCCTCCTCTGACAGAGGAGATGATGCTCAAACCATCGTCAGGACAACCGCGGCAGCGACGAAGATCGCAGAAGCAAGACGGCAACCAGAAGCCTGCTGCTGAGGCCGCTGAAGATCTCAAGGCCCTCATCCGATACCTGTACAGCAGGCCTCGCAATTTGCAGGCGCAGCCGCCAAACTCCTTCGACTCCAAGTTTCCACTCCGCCATCTGGTCTCACCGGAGCTGGGAGATCTGCTCGAGATGCTGCTGGAAAATGGTGACGAGCAGGCACTTGATGTGTTGACGGATGACAAGTGCACGACCAAGATACGAGGTTTGCTAATCCTGTGGACATGCTTGCAGCAAGTGATCATAACGGCTGCCTGCTCGCTACAGAGGCGCTCAGGGACCAGGTTACCATGGACGACTTCTGCATTTGGTTTACGGCCAACAGCACCGACGATTCTGAAGTGACCATTTCCTGACCTCCTTCCCCTTGCCTGGCCTTGACCGTCGGAGCTCGCAGGTCAAGGCCAAGATCCGTTACATCTTCCAAAAGCTAGCGAGCTCAAGTCTGCAGATCTCTCAGTAGAGGCGTCTAGTGGTCTGCTGACTGCCATCTGCCAGGAAACTGCCCTGAGGAGCTGAAGTCGAAGATCCAAGAGCAGTGGTCTGCTGCCCGTCCTGCAAGTCTTTGCTGACGTCATCCAGGTTGAAGCCTTCAGCTGCGGACAAGGATGAAGTCGATACATGCGCGCGTCTCGCCTGCTGCCTCCCTGACTGCGATCTTGCAGCTGGCCAACAAGTTGGACGCCAGGGAAGTTGAGAAGATGAAGGGGAGGTTGCGGCACGTCAAGAGGTCTCTTGCAGATCTCAAGAGGAAGAAGCGCTTCAAAATGGTGTGAGCTCTTGGATCCTCGTGTTTTCCTGCTGCTGCTGCTGCTCCTCCTCCTCCTCCTCCTTCTCCTCCTCCTTCTCCTCCTCCTCCTTCTCCTCCTCCTCCAGCGCCTCCTGCTGCTGCTGCTGCTGCTGCTGCTGCTGCTGCTGCTGCTGCTGCTGCTACTCCTCTTCCTCCGCCTTCTCCTTCTCCTCCTCCTCCTCCTCCTCCTCCTCCTCCTCTCTCGCGTGTCGTGTTGGCTCTGCTGGTGGACTGAAACAACACTTGACAAAATCTTGTGATTTCATGTTCCCCTCACTCGCAGTCTCGTAGTTTTCATCATCTTTCTATCCTTTCGTTCGATTGTCGTTTCTATCCATCGGCTCAAACAATTTTGATGACCTACGATTCGATTCTCATGGTCATTGAATCCCGTCCGTAACTGACATCATACCCTGTCCCCTCCAGAGCCTCGGCAAGCTGGAGAGGAAAATCATCACGATCAGGATCAGGAAATTCAGAGCGGAAGCTGAGAAGGTCGGGAGAAGAGGAGGAGGAGTAGGCAGGGCAACTGGTTGTGAGAACCTGCGGCAGATCATGGCGGCCATGGCTGAGTACTTCGACTCTATTGCGGACGCCAAATCCCTCTCCCTACCTCCTGGCGATACCCTTCCATGCCAGCAGCACCGCCTGGAGGACGACGATGGTGACTAAAGAGACGGAGAGTTTCCCAGCTCCCTGACACGTCTCCCTCCCATGCTAGACATCAGCTGGAGGATCTTCCCAGCCACCTCCGAGCAAATTTTCTTCGACGACTGGACGGTGAGATCTCAGAAGCTTGCGGGTTGACTGGCCGTGGCTCACCCCTTCCCCCCTCCAGGAGGAAGAAGCTGAGAAATGTTTGTGGCTGCCTGCCGTTGGAGTCGAGAAGCACCTGCTGCCGGTCAGCTGTGCTCCTGCTGGCTGCTTGAGTTGACAGCTTGTCTAGTTTGACATAGTCGGATCTCAATTCTTCGAGAAGTTCGACGTGCAAGTGGAGCTGGACGGTATGTGCTGCCTCGCTCTGCGGGGGGCTGATCCGAGTCCTTCCCAGCTCGTCCCCACAAGGGCAAGCTTGTCAAGGGGAGGGGCCTGATGGAGGTCAACCTGACCCGCGAACTTCCTGATGCTGGTGCGTCTCAAACATCTACCATGACCCTTGCGGCTGATGAAGCATACGACGTCCAGGAGGGATCCCCACATCCCTTGTTCTTCTGGAGGGTCCGTATCAAGGTAGTCTTGCTGCTCCTCCTCCTGCTTCTGTACTTCCTCCTCCTCCTCCTCCTCCTCCTCCTCCTCCTCCTCCTCCTCCTGTACCTCCTCCTCCTCCTGTACCTCCTCCTCCTCCTCCTCCTCCTGCTCATCCTCCTCCTCCGCCTTGCTGCCATACCTTGCTGCCCTCCCCTGCTGCCATGCTCCGCTGAACTTCAGGCTCCAGGGACCCTTGAAGGCTGCGAGGGAGGCAAAGGAAGCAGTGCTCTCCCTCCTCTTCAGCCCCATCCGCACAGGTCGCCTTCCCTTCTCCTCTTCCCTCAGCCCCTTTCTCTCGTCACTTCCCCCCTCCTCCTCCTCCTCCTCCTCCTCCTCCTCCCTCTCTCCTCCTCCTCCTCTTCCTCCCTCTCTCCTCCTCCTTCTCCCTCCCTCCTTCTCCCTCCCTCCTTCTCCCTCCCTCCTTCTCCCTCCCTCCTTCTCTCCATCTCTCTCCCCCTCACGCGAGGTAGAGGGCTCACTCCATGTAGATCACATTCCAGAAGAAGCATGGGAAGAGTTCCTGAAATGCCGAGAGTGGTATTACGGGCACAGGTGTCAGAGGAGGGGAGGAGGAGAAAGCAGCAGTCCTTGATGGAGTTACTACAGGTGGTCGATTCAGTTTCACAGCAGATACAATCGGAAAGACGTCTTCCTATCCAACCTGCCAAAAACTTCTCAATTCTGGTGAGCTTATTTGGGTTCCCACTACTGCTCATCATCATCATCATCATCATCATCTTCTTCTTCTTCTTCTTCTTCTTCATCATCATCATCATC